CTTAAATGTCAATTTCTCTTCTCAATTTTGTCTTGTCTGCTGAAGAAGCCACAAAAATTAACTCAGTTGTACACAGTTTTGAGATGTCTAGCTGCACACTAGAAATACCAACATCTATAAACAGGAATAGGGTAAAAACACAAATATAAGAAGTTTTAGAAGTGAAACCCTACTCCCTGAACTTGAAAAAATTGTATTTAAAACCCTTACTTGCACATAGCTTTGTAACAGACATAAGTTGCTTGTTAAACTCACGCTTCTACAAAATCAAGGAAAACCTGAATCCTAGAAGTTCAACTAATAGTCATGCTAACACTGCTTCTTTTATTCTAGAGCCTCAAAGTATTTTAAGAAGGTGAATAAATATTAGTACCTACTATACGTGGAGTTGATTCACTGGAAGATACACTGTTTGGTTTGTGTTTCTTGCACTTCAGTTTGGCATTTCACTGAGGTGTTTAATCCTTAGTCCTTAGGGCCCTCCATTGTCTGTGAGCATAAGCAGGCAGCTTCAGAGAATGACTTGCATTGTGGAGGGCCTGAATTACTGTTCAGACCTACCAATCTTTCTCCAGCGCTTTTCAACTTTGCTGAAATGGAGATGAGACTTTTGTGGAAGTGGCTAAAATTTTCCAAATCAGCCCAGGCCTAATGTCACAGCTGCTGTATTCTCCTGTATTCCCATTTCTTATCCTCCCTGCTACACTAAACTACCTCTGGGAAAAGATCCGAGGATTTATAAAGCTGTATCGATAATGATTTTTTTCCCTCTTCTTCCCTTTAATATAAACCACAATTCAAGAAATCAGTTAATACCTGCATCAGTCATGACCATAACAGAACACAGAAATGATCCAGGAGATGAAAAGATCCCTACCATTTGAACAGCTCCTTTTTCTATCTTGGATAATTCTTTTTCCTTTTTGAACTACAGTAACACCTACAACAGGAACAAATGAAGGCTAAAGTAAGGCATGATACACTTGAGTTCTTCAGTTATATTTTTCATTACAACAGTAGTAAAAACAATGCCATTACATAAATAAGCCCACCTAGAGCACAGAAGCATTTGATCATTCTTTAATCAAATATTAGAGAAATGTACTTCTATGTTCTGTTACCCTCTTAAGATAAAAAAGCATGCAGCATATTAATCTTTGGGTCATGCATTGTCCCAACATGTCCTGTCCTTGAATATATATAGAACAATTTATAAGGGTTGTTTGAAGTTAATTTAGTACAGCAGTAGTATTAATCATGATTTTCACCATTTTCATCTTGGATACTCAGACCTAACTGTTGGGAATGATAGCCAAACTACAAATATTTGGGGTTGATCATGCAATTTACAGAATAAAGATAGACTGCAAATCCACTTCAATGTGAAACACCAAAGTTCTTAAAGATTTATAGCAGAAAAAGAAACCTTAATCCCCAGTGCTGCAAAGGAGTTTTGTTGGCTTAAGTACAATTGTAAAAAACAGAATGTTTATTGGCTGGCACATACTGTGAATATCATACATGGTCAAAAAACTGCCAATAAAGCTTTCACAGCTTCACTGTTCAACAGGCTGGAGGAAAAAATAAACAGTCTTTTTACTTTACAAAACTCCTAAAAAACCCTACCATTGTGCAGTGGTACAAGAATTCCAATTAACTCTTCTAGAAACAGATATCAGCAAGTGGACTAAGCCATGCCCAGTACATTAGTAAGTACACATAAGGATTACTGGAGAATTCATGCTCTATGTAGGAAAAAAACTAGCTTTAAGGAACTAGTTTATCCTCAGACTGTACAAGTGAAAGAAGAGTACAAATGAGAGAAGGGTAGCTAGAGGTTACATTGAGGGAAATTTTTAGCAGCTTCCTTATACAGAAAGATTCTGGACTACTGATACATGTCAACACATCTGAGTGAAATGAATACATTTACTCAAAGCTTGTACTTGAAGCTTGTACATGAAGTGTATGGGTACTTCACCACATATAACTAAATACTTCACAGACCCTTCACTCGCTGCTGGTGTGAGAAAGGCTTTGCTTTCATGTAAGTAACTCTCCCATTTTCTATGCCTGTATTGCATTCCCAGCATTGTGTCTTAATTTACTATTTCTGGATTTTTGGAGCGCTGTTTCCGTTTCCCTGCCCATTCCCTCATTGTGATCTTTGATCAGTGGATCCTTCCCCGAGAGATATAAAATTAATGACTGTCTTAAAATACACACAGGCACATACATACCTATAAATAACAGAACAGGGTCCTGTAAAGGAATTCTAGATTAGATGTAAAAGAAAGTGCAGATTTGCAAAGTAGCAGTTCAGTGGCAAAACTATGGTTAACATGAAACATGCTTAATGTGGTCTTCAAAAGTTCCCTAATGGTGTACTAAGGGTTGTGAAGTTTTGTGCCAGTTGTACTTAATTCTGAAATTTCTGTTCTCTCTTTGACTACCTAAGGTACAACAGCTGATGAATTCAGAAAAGCAAAATAAGTACCCTGATCTACCACGGCCTCATGGTTGAATTATTCTGAATTTGGTAAAGTGCAAGGCACAAATGAAGCCTCCTCATCTTATAGTATTCCCATAGTACCTCCTCATTCCTATTAAAGATGCACTGCAGCTTTCAGTCAAGGTGGTAGTCTGGGCTGGTTTTCACAGATCTTAAAAGAAGAAGAATTATTGTGTACAAGAAGCAAAATTATTATGTACAAGACTTCTACTGCTTTGCCAAAATGACCAGTGAATAGCTTCACAAACTGTTAGGAAGAGAAGGACAGCAGGAAAAGTAATTAAGTAAGATCTGTTTTCTAGGAAAAGTGAGTTAAGAATACCTGCCTTTTTTTTCTTCCCTGACACAATAAATCAGGTACTTCTCCTTTTTAAAGCAATAAGGCACAGAAAATATTGAGAGGCAGACAGATCAGGCAATTTTTATTATGCAAAAGACTGGAACGAGAAATTAATTTTGCAGCGGTTATATTAAAAAGCTTGTATATAGCTGCTGACTAAGTCAGTGCTTATTTTGGAAGATGTATCTAAATTTGACATTCAGACATCAGAAATGTAACTGTGTCCCCTCTAGGCAAATACGCAGTTTTACCAGAAATAGGATATACTTATGTAATACCCACCTACTTTTAACTTAGCTATACAGCCTGCAAAACCTTCTTCTCATGATAACATTAGATACAACATCTCAGAAACAGAACCGAAGATCCAATAAATTTATATTGTTATATTCTGCCAAGATTTACAAACTACAGACCAAACAGGGACCCATAACTTCTCTAGGAGTTTTAATGCTCACATAAATGGCTGAGTAACCCATATACAGAGATACATGCACAGATAGCTCCCAAAGATCTTGGTGTCCTTGGGGGTCCTGGACTGAAAGTTAGCAAATATTATTTCAATTTACAAAAAGGGCATGAGAGAAGATCCAGGAAGACCTGTTGGTACAATCTCATTACCCGGGAAAAATATGGAGAAGATCACACTGGCTGCAGTTGAAAGGCACTTGAAGAATAATGCAATCATCAGGCAGAGTCAACAAAGTTTCACAGAAGGAAAGTCCTGTTTGACAAGGTTACTGGCCTAGTGGTTGAAGGGAAGGACATGGATGCAGTTTTCCTAGATTTAGGAAGGAATAAGAATTCTTAAGTTTGGATTAAGCCCTTCTGATGCTGTCCCTGACAGCATCCTCCTGAACATGCTATCCAGCACTGGGTTCATGATGTGCTGGCTGAAGTGCAGAGCTCAGCAGGGTGCAGTCACTGGGGCTGTATCTGGCAGGTAACCAGCCACCAGCAGTGTTCCTCAGGGTGCAGTTCTTAACAGCGTGCTGCTGCTTTTGGTCAGCCCTGAAGCTGCCAGGCAGTTGTACCAGATAATAGTTGTACCTTTCAAAAGAACTATCCTATCCTATCCTATCCTATCCTATCCTATCCTATCCTATCCTGTCCTGTCCTGTCCTGTCCTGTCCTGTCCTGCCCTGTCCCGTCCCGTCCTGTCCCGTCCCATCCTCAAAAGATACTACAAGAGGCTGAACACAACAGACATGTTTTTAATAAAAACACACAAATAATGCAATTTTCCGCATAGCAAAAAATTGCATTTGACATACTGAAACTGAAGCAATCTAGATTATTAGTCAGGTGTCTTGTCAATAACTCTTTAGCAAAACATGGTTTTATTTCGCTGTTTTCTTCCCTTGAAATAATACAAATATTCACGTAAAGAAAAGATATATGGAAGCAGATTGCTGTGGTAGCATTTGCTGGTATAGTACAGATAACTGATCCTGAATTGCTCGATATAATTAGAGATGTTGCAAGATCCTTTCATGTATTAACCTAATATCCTAACCTACACTTTTCCTTGCATTGGAAATATAACGAAGATGTTATTCACATGTGCGTGTCTGTGCAAGGGGAGAAGGCTTGGTGCAACATACAAAGGCAAAACATGATTTTTTTTTTAATTTATTTTTCAGTATGAGCATATGGAAGGCTCAGAATACACGGCGATCAGCTGATTATTCTGGCTGAGGTCAGTCCAGTGGGGAGCAGCGCAATAGCCAGCGGCTCCTGCACGGCCATGTGTCCCCGAGCAGGGCCACGCTGCGCCCCCGCGAGCGGCTCAGCAGTCCCAAAAGGCCCGGGACACACAGCTGGCATCGTGCCGAGGCACCGGCCAGGCACCCGCGGGCTGCTCCCGACCGCTCCCCGCGCCGAGCGGCCCCAGCACGGGCGAGCGCACGGAGACACCTCGGGGCTCCCGGCTCCGGTGCGAGCCGCGTTCCCGCTTCCAGAGGCCATCCCACCGCGCGACCGGCCCATCCGGGTACCTCGGGAACTCCTTGTCCCGGCTCACAGCTTTCGCTGCCATTCCCGGCGCGGTCCCCGGCGGGCGGGGCCGCTCCAGCCCCGCGGCGGGCGGGCTCTGCTGGGGAGGGGCGGGCGCCTCCTTCCTGTTTCCGCTCGGGATCCCGGAGCGCGGCAGGGCCGCGGTACCGCGGGGCAGCGGCGGGCGGCCCCGGCAGCGCGGCTTGGGCGGGCGGCGGGACATCGCCGTCCCCTCACGGCGCCGTGTGTTCTCTCCGCAGGGAGCTCGGCTCGCCCTTCGCCGCTCGGCAGGCCCGGAGGTGCCCGGGGCCGCAGGTGAGGCGGTGCCGGCCGCGGCGGGGCGGGAGGCTCACAGAGGCGGTCGGGGCCGGGGCCGGCAGCGCTGCGGGGGTTTTGAGTGCCCCACGGCCGCCAGTTCAGTACCCAAAGCACTGCCGGAGCTCCCCCGCCTCCCTGGTGAAACCTGCAGAGAGAAACCAGCCGGGCTGGCTTTCCTTCACTTCCAGGAAGGAAGGTTCACAAACCGCACTCTTTCTCTATTTAGCAATACATTCTTGGTAGCGTTTGCAGCTCTGTTGGATTAAATACTAATTATTCTATAAACGCTGAACTTTAATATAGGGTCAGTGCTTTGTATTACACTTTCACATAGTATGCACTGCTTTAACTTCTAGCAAAAATGATCTTGCCCTTTAATAGTGAACAAGGACAACTTATGGTACTTAGTATCGTAGAATCGGTAGGGTTGGAGGGGACCTCTGGGATCATCCAGTCCAACCCCACTGTGAAGGCAGGGTCACCTAGAGCCGGTGACACAGGAACCTGTCGACCTCAGCTTTGCGTATCTCCAGAAGGAGACCCCATGACTTCCCTGGGTTGCCTATTTCCGTGATCAGCCACCCTCAATGTAAAGTTGTTCTTTCCCATGTGAAGGTGGAACTTCTTGTGTTTTGTTCTTTTGTATGTGTGCTTTTATTTTGCTGAGTACTAAGATTTTTTTTTTATATTCTACAGGGTTTCCTCAGTAGGAGAACAGAAAAGATGTTCGATATTAAGGCTTGGGCCGAGTACATTGTGGAGTGGGCTGCCAAGGACCCCTACGGCTTTCTCACCACCGTGATCTTGGCTCTGACGCCGCTGTTTGTCATCAGCGCGGCGCTGTCATGGAAGCTTGCAAAAATGATTGAGGCCCGGGAACGAGAGGTGAAGAAGAAACAGAAACGCCAGGAGAACATTGCAAAGGCCAAACGAACAAAGAAGGATTAAATGGGCAAAAATGGCCTTCCTTGTGCAAATAATCCACTTTTAAAATGAAATACTTGTACATTTTGTGTTGCAACTGTCCTTTGATACTTGATCCTGTTATTTCTTGAAGTATGAAATTTAATACTTCCAGTGTAATTTTTTCCTGCTGATTTGTGTTAAAATTTGCCCAAGTGACACTTGTTAGAGTAATTAAATTTACTACTTGTATTCTAGTGCAGGTTGCTTTTCTAAATTTGCATGTTAAATTAAAAAAATAACTTCTTGGATGGCTTTGGAGGTAGATTTTTTTTCCTCTTAGCTGAGCTATGACTTAACAAGTGTCTTAAAATTATCAAGTTTAGGGGAAAATTGAATAATAAACTGGATTACAGAAATGCAATTTTTGGCATACCTTGAGCAGGGCTGTAGAGACAAGCTATCTGTAGCATTAGACAGCAGACATGACTGATTTCATTTAAGGTCACTGCATATGGCTGCGTGTGCCCATAGTGGCTGCTGCAGTGTCTTTGATGGTGCTGCTTGTCTGCAGAAATAACCTACCTTAGCTTTTCCTTTTTCCTGAACTACAAGCCATCAACAGACTTTAACTTCAGCCCAAGTTCTAGGAAACTGATTGCTTGTTCTTAGTAGCTTCATTTCTCTTAAGGCATTCATGTTCTATAAAATACAGTACTGTTGTTTGATCTTCCCTAACAATCACCTGAATGCTCCACCTGTAACTAATTTGGTTTTGCCCTCATGAATTCTTTTTGCCTCAAAGAATAGCCATAAGTTGGGTGAGACCAAAGACCCAGGTGGCCTAGTGTTCTGCTATAGCAGATGGCTGCGCAAGGGTGTTGCATGAGCTGGTGACAGTAACCACCTACCTGGCTACCTTTCATCTAAGACTTGAGTTTAGGTAGGATTTTTGTTCTCACGGCCCTTGAAAAACTCTGCTGCCTTACAGGTTGCAAGATGCTGACATAATCAAAAAAGTCAGATTTGTGTTGTAAATACATCAAAATGATTTAACCTTATTTCCAATTAATCTCTTCTAAATAGACTTGATCAATTTTTCAAAGCCTAATTTTTTAATAATAGTCTGTGGTGGCCTCTACATAGTCTAGTTCAGAAGAGCTTGTAGCAGTCATTAAGATTTTGCATTTTGCATCAGCACAGAGTTGTGCATTCTAGCAGCTACTCTTTGATCAGTTTTAAAAATAAAACCTTAAAATAATACCATTGTTCAAATGAAGAGACCTATAGAGCTGGCTGACACCAAGGGGGATCAGAAGTGGGGAGTCTAACTGAAATTACTTCTAAGTAAATTTGAAGTTGATCCCCTTTCAATTTTGTTGGTGAAAGCAAGCATTATTAAAATATGACATTTGGGCATTTTTTAAGTATGTGAGATTAAGTCTCCATGTTTTGTATGAAGTGTTGTCAAATATGTATGTGTTCTACCTTTGATACCTACATAGCTTGAAACACAGGGAGGAAAACTGATGAGGGATACACTCCATAAATAAATTTGATACTTTTTGAAAAAAAAATTGTGTGGTCTTCATTTTTATTTTAAGTTCTCAAACATCATCTCTAAGCAAATAATCTGCACATTTTATGTATCTAAACTATGGCCAAAATGATCTCATCATCTAGGGAAGTCCATGGATAGACAAGGAATAAAAACTAATTTTTTTTTTTTAATATTTATGACAGCCCCTTGTCTCAGACCTAGTGTTATTTTCCAGCAGCTTTATCAAGTACTTCTAGCTTCTATTATAGCAGTTATATTTATTTTAACTGGTTTTACCCTGCACAAATTTCTGTCTGCAAATCAAACACTCAAATATGTTGACTGTTTTAAAATCAAACATTCAAATATGCTGATTGTTTTAAGTTACAAGAAAGTCTCTACGATGAGTACAGTGCATAATCAGTGTAGTGTCATAGTGATTCCTATTAATGAAATCAACTTTTCTGTCTGCTTGCCAGCCGAAAGCATGCTGGCACTGCCAAGGGATTTATTCTGAAGAGATGTCTTGGCCAAGGCTTGGGAAAATGTAAGTGTACAGACAACAATTCTTACATCAAGAACAGTTTTAAAACTAAATTAGTCTTCAAAGAAAAAAGCAATTTAGACTTAAAGAAAATTTAGATAGTCTTTTAAGAATGAATTCAAGAGTAACTGATGAGCAGCAACTCTCAAAACCAAACTTAGTAACACACCGTTTTTCACAAAACCTAAACACCTCAACAATACTTTGTCATGATCAAGCCTATTTGAATAGTTCTGCAAAAGTAACTCAAACTGGTTTAATACTACTTTATTGTACTCTTGTATATAACAGCTGTGTATGTCGTCTCTTAAAATATTAATCCATTAACAGTACCTGTCCATTAAAGCTTATTTATTTTGACTGCTACCACTGCCTGGTGGCATCCAGGCACCTGGCTGGAAGGTATTTGCAGTGCTCGTGGGGTCTTGTGAGGGCTCCTTCTTTCCATAGTAAGGGGCAGATGCGTGGCCTTTAACCTGAGTATGACTTGGTTCAGCAACAAGTCCTTCCTCATACTCCTTGGCCTGAAGCAGCTTATCCTTTTCAGATACATCCTTGACTTTCTGCTTCATTTCTTCTCTATAACTTTCATTCCTAAGAATCTCCTGAAAACACAGTAGAAAGGCAATTAGGTCAAAAGCAAATGCAATATACAGTGTTTCAATAAAGCATTTTAAACAGTCGTTTATTTTCTTAATTTTATAACCCACATTTGCAAGTATTAAAGTAAAATAAAATGTGTCAAAATTGTTGGTTTTCCACAACTGCAAATTCAACCCTAACTGTATTGTGTCCACTTCACCGTTCTGTTGGAGCAAAAAGAAGAAATTAAGAAATTAAATACATCAACAAATGTAAAAGCACATTAAAACTAATTGCATTTTTTTCTATGTAGGAGTTGATACTTACAGATATTTGTCATTTGCATCTGTTCCTGTAATTTACTATGCCTGTGGTGTTAGGTTCCTGTGCCTCGGCATAGTTTTGGGAGAAACAGATGTGCAACCATTGGGGTCTTGCTTCTGCAAGACTACAAAAGAAATAACTAAAATCACAAAATCACGGATTGGTCAGGTTGGAAGATAGCACAGTGGGTCATTTGGTCCAAGTTCATTCAACCTCCATGCTCCAGCAGGGTCATCCCAGAGCATATGGCACAGGATTGTGTCCAGGTGCTGCTTGATTAGTTCCAGTGAGGGAGACTCCTCAACCCCTCTAGTTAATCTGTTCCAGTGCTCAGTCAACCCCACAGTAACATATTCATATAAAGGTGGAACTTCCTGGGCATAGGTGTCTGCCCATTGCCTCTTGTTCTATTGCTTGGCACCACTGAGCAGAGCCTGAATCCATCCTCCTGGCACCCTCCCATCGGACACTGATAGACATTGATCATGTCCTCTCTCAGTTCTCTCTCCTCAGCTTTTCCAGGTAGGAGGTGTGCTCCAGTCCCCCAATCAAGTTCATTGCCCTCTGCTAGATCTGCTCCAGCAGTTCCATGTCTCTGTTGTCCTGAGGAGCCCAGAACTGGACACAGCACTCCAGGTGAGGCCTCACCAGGGCTGAGTACAGGGGCAGGATCACCTCCCTCCACCTGCTGGCAATGCTCTTCCCAATGCCCCCAGGATACCATTGGCCTTCTTGGCCACCAGGACACACTCTGGCTCATGGAAGCTTCTTGTCCACCAGGACCCCCAGGTCCTTCTCCACAGAGCTGCTCCCCAGCAGAGCAGCCCCAGCCTGTGCTGGTGCCTGGGGTTGTTCCCATGTGCAGGACCCTGCACTTGCCCTTACTGAATTTCACAAGGTTCCTCTCTGCCCATCTCTCCAAGCTGTCAAGGTCCTCTGAAGGGCTGCACGGCCCTCTGGGGCATCAACCATTGCTCCCAGCTCAGCAAACTTGCTCAGGAGGCATCTGTCCCTTCACCCGAGTCACTGGTGAGTAACTTAGACAGTCCTGGGGCTGTACTGAACCCTGGGGAACAGCAGCAGTGACTGCATCCAGCCAGAGCCTGGGCCAGTGACTGCATCCAGCCAGAGCCTGGGCCAGTGACTGCATCCAGCCAGGCCAGAGCCTGGGCCAGTGACTGCATCCAGCCAGAGCCTGGGCCAGTGACTGCATCCAGCCAGAGCCTGGGCCAGTGACTGCATCCAGCCAGGCCAGAGCCTGGGCCAGTGACTGCATCCAGCCAGAGCCTGGGCCAGTGACTGCATCCAGCCAGGCCAGAGCCTGGGCCAGTGACTGCATCCAGCCAGAGCCTGGGCCAGTGATTACAACCCTCTGGGTTTGGCCATTCAGCCGGTTCTCAATCCACCTCACTGTCCACTCATCCAGTCCACAACTCTTGAGTTTTCCTACAAGGATGCTGTGAGAGACAGTATCAAGAGGTTCCACTGCTCTCCCTTCCACCATCCAGGTAGTTGTTTCATCATAAAAGTCAATCAGGTTGGTCAAGCATGATTTATCTGCAGTGAATCCATGGTGACTGACTATTCCTGATCACCTTCCAGCCATCCATGTGGATAGAGATGGCCTCCAGAATTAAGAAAAAGGCTGAATACTTTTCTCTATACCAGTACACTCCTCTGTGAACAAGAGACCATTATATTATTTTAAGAATTTAGGTGCTAAAATACATGGGGTACTGCCAAGAGTGTAAATAGCAACTATGAACACCTAAGAATGCTTAAAAGAAAGTAATGAAAGAAAACTTTATGTAGGGGGTTGACCATGGCTGAATGCCAGATGCCCACCAGAGCTTGTCACTTCCCTCCACAGCTGGATGCGGGGAGAAAATATAGTGAAGAGTTCACAAGTTAAGGACTATAAGATATCATGCACCGAATGCCATCACAAGCATAACAGACTCAATCCTCTTGCAGGATGATGATAAATAAAATTAAATCTTAAAATCACCCCCCCCCCCCCTACCCCTCCCTCCTTTCCAGCTTTGTCTCCTCCCCGTAGCAAGTGCAGGGAGACAGGGAATGGGAGTTATGGTCAGCTGGGACCTCCATGGCTGCAGGGCCACAGCTGCCTCACCATGGTCTGCACCAGGGGCTGCAGGGGGACCTCAGCTCTGGTGCCTGGAGCACCTCCTGTCCCTCCTTCTCCCCTGACCTGGGTGTCTGCAGGGCTGTTCCTCTCACATATTCTCAGCCTGCACAAAAACTCTACAAAAATGTTTTAAGTCTCTTAAATATGTAATCAGAGAGGCATTACCACCATTTCTGACGGGCCCAGCCTTGACCAGAGGCATGTCCATCCTGCAGCTGGCTGGGACTGTCTCTTCCAGACATGGAGGAAACTTCTGGCAGCTTCTCACAGAAGCCATCCCTGTAGCTGCCCTGCTACCAAAACCTGGCCTATACACCTTATCTTAGAGGTACCATGGAAAGCAACCCCTTTTCTTAGTTCTTAGTTGCTTCTGTATTTAAATTCATAGATACAGAGAGCAGAGGCAGAACCCTTTGCATACAAATAGAAATTGAATGGAAATACACAAGTAATACACAAATGACACAAACTGAGGAGGGATGAAAAATCTGACATGCTCAAATAGAAATATTGCCAAACATTACAAGATCAAATTTTTAACAGTCAGTATAGCAAAACTTCTTTGTGGCATCTCTCAATTCTATTCTTGTTTACCACATGCCTATGTAAATCCACCACAACCTTACTGATATTCCACGGGATTACTCCTATGGTGCTTGTGATATACCCCTACTAAGAAACAAGTAAAGCAAACACCTTTATGATAACTGAAGGCTCCATCATTGTCTCTGGTAAAACCATAGGAAGTGATTTATTAAAATACAAACACAACCTACTTATTATGAACAGCTATTAATTTAAAATCTCTTCAAATGATTACTTCAACATAAAGTTATCTTAATCAGGTAAGAGCAGCTGTAACTAAACACCAAATGCTCCAAGTCCATTTTAAATGTTGATATATAATTTTTCTCTGGTTTTCAGACTCAAATAAGGCTCTTTTAATCAGCTTTCTGTGGACAAAGTATAATTGTGATAGAGTAAAATGAAAAACTGGATCTCAAAAAAACCCATGAGAAATGATTCTTATTACCAATTGCAAAAAAATCCCCAAACTGAAGTGACTTATTCAGAATTTTCTATACAATTTACCAGGATAAATTTTTTCTACTACAAAATGTACATATCCAGTTTTGGCATTAAACTCATGCCACTAACACATACACTGAAATCACTGGGTTCCTGTGCTCAAGGTAAAGAAAATATGAATTAAAAATATTGGGTCAATTGGCAGGTTAGAAAAACTGGGTCAAATACATTCTCACTTTGAGATTCCACTGCTAACCAATCCTTTACTGTCTGATTTGCTATAAAAAGTAACTGAGAGCTAAAAGTTAGTTTATTTGTGGGTTTTTCTTTTTTTGTTTAAGTTACATTGTCAAGTTCAGAACACTTATATTCTGTCCTTCAAGATAAATCACAGTATTTTATAAGATGGCTATCTTTACTAAAAACTGCCCCCCAGTAAGTTTTCTGCTAAAATATAAGTACACAAACACATAATGTGCTCTGACCATTAAGCAAAGTACAAAATCTTTCTATCCAACCCAGAGAACACATAATCTATCAGATAGCTGCAGTTTTTAAAGGATTAGCTTGTTCTTCCAACACGGTCTTTTTGTACAAATAAATTATATAAGCTCTTTGAACCAGCAATTCTCAGGAAATACATGGCATCTCAAGACTACCAGAAATGTCCTTCACCAGTTTTACTAAAAGAAAATTCTAAGAGCTGGGACTATGCTGCAAAACAAAAAACAAAAAATGCCTTAAGATATCAAGCCACATTTTAAAGCAGTTGAAATCCCTACGTGCAGATGTTCACTTTGAAATGTATCAGCTCCCAGCATACAGAACAGGATACACATGATATGCCAAGAGCTACGTTCAACTACATGTTCTGCAGCTTATTTTTAGGTGGAAAGTAAAACAAGACATTTTATCACTGCAGGTTGTCCAGCTTTGGTGATTATTTTAAGTTGTATGAAGTTTTTAACACTTCTAACGTTTGGAGCTGCACTTTCTCCTTAGGTGGACAGAGTTTTTCTCCTTAGGTGGACAGAGTTTAAGAAAGTGCTGTCTAAGGTTTCCTTGAAGAACATTATTATTAAGGAAATACCAAAGTGGCCCTTTGTGGAGTTTGAGGCAGCTGGTTTTCATCCACAAAACTGCTGACTTCTGCATAATCTGACATCTTAGTATTGGTAACAGCTGCATGATCAAAGAATGAAAGATAGCATGCTCCTAGGAGCAACACAAGCTCAAGACATGTTGCTGTCTTCCAAGGGTGTTTCTGCAAAATGGATTGGGCTGTATTTCCTGCCACCAGCATGAAATTTTCACTTCTGTTGCAAACTATATTTTTTGAAGCTCTGACATAACTCCAGCAACTGAGTTGTATCACAAAGTAATCTCTGTGGTGTGGAAACTGTATTCACCTCCACTCCATACAAGGAGAAAAATCTAGACAAAGAATTTTGGATGCATACCTTACTGTACTGGAAGAGCTGCTTTGTAGGGTAAATATTTGCAATGCAGTGGTTTTTTGCT